AGTTGACTACAGCAGATTTGAGTCATCTATTTAAAATAATGATCGACATGCTTTGTTTGGCATTTGGCATTTATATATAAATAGCATCTCTATCTATAAAAGGCAGGATGTGTGTGTGTGTGTGTGTGTGTGTGTGTGTGTGTGTGTGTGTGTGACGAATGCACGGCCGCAATTTTCGACGGATTTGCACCAAAATTTACATGCACATGCTCCAAGTTAGTGGGAAGGCCAGGACTGACTTTGAATTTCCCAACTCCCATCGATAGTGGAAATAATCCATTTTTTCATGCTTCTACGGCAGTTTTCTTGTAGTTTGCGGCAATTTTCTACTGGCCAGAGTGGGAGCCTACGGCTGGCTGCCACGAATAGGCAGGAAGATTCTATTGGCCAGCGTGAGAGCCAACAGCTGACTGACACGAATGTTAACAAGCATGCTAGCATGAAAAAAATACATAGATAGCTGCATTCGTCACAAGTGGGAAAAATTTTAATCTGCATGGCACTTTGCTCCACTTGGCTCATTCGCTTGCTTAAACTCAGCGTTGATTCTGATTCTGCAGAACTGGGTTGGGTGTGAAAAAGTATTTGTTGTTAATATTCTTTTTTTTTCGGTTTTTCCAGTTACAAGTCCTTTTTTTAAAGCTGATCGTTTTGTGTTCATTTTGTTTAGTTCTTTTTTCGTAACAGATTTAATGTTTAGTATAGAGCTTAGAAAAAATTCGCAGTGTGAGATAGGCAAGAAGTAAGGCATGTAGCAACATCAGCACAGCAAAGGGAACTCCTTTAAAAGCATACAAGGGCAAACATATGTTAAGTCAAGTGATAGCGATTGCTGTATGAGTCGTACGATTTATAAATCAAGCACGGGCAACGCCAGGCCATGCTGCTAGTTATATATATATATATATATATATATATATATATATATATATATATATATATATATAAGACATTTTTATGTTCATACGTTCTTTTTATAGATACAAATATTTAAATAAATGCTCTGTTTATAATAAACAGTATTAACAACATTTACCGGCCTAAATAGAAAATATGCGTCCTCCGACAGGAATCGAACCTGTATCCTATTCGGAACCCTCATATAGCCTGACGTGCATTAACCGATAGGGCCATAGAGGAGCGTTCGGCTAGCAAGTTCTTTTTAAACACAATTCTCCATGATTTTCTCTCATTCATTCATATCTGTTCAATGCATATCCAAATGTAAACAAATGACGTCTGTTTATAATTAACATAAAGAAATGTCTTAAAAATAATTGTCGGACTTTGTTCATTTTTTATATATATATATATATATATATATATATATATATATATATATATATATATGTGTGTGTGTGTGTGTGTGTGTGTGTGTGTGTGTGTGTGTGTGTTCAAACAGGTTTGGTTAAATAATTTTACATCATGTCGCTTAGTTTTCGTTGTGATCTTTTCAACAAACTCGGACGAGTGATTAATTTTAACAATACGTGGCACCAGTATGTGAGGGACGCTTGGTGAATGGGCTGTTGTATGAGAATGATTAAATATTAGGATGCCGCAAAAATACGGCAATAAGCTGGAAAATACGGTATATCTCATTTTATATATTTATTTTTTCACAGTCTTTCAGTTAATTCATTTTGTTTATTTACTTTTTTATTGTGAGCAACCAGGAGGTTTTAAATGCAGGTGCTCCCCAGGGCTCTATCCTTGTACCTTCGTTGTTTCTAATTTGCATAAATGGCCTTCCCGATGTCATCAGTTCTCAATTCTTTATCAATGATTATGACAAAAACATTTACTCCTTTCTTGAGAGTAAGTCTGATCGCTTCGATAAGGTCAAATTGGCAGCTGACCTGAAAAATGACCCACAGTCTGTTGTTAACTGGGGCAAGGAATGGCTTGTTAATTTTAACACCTCACAAATAAATTATTTTACTCTTAATCATCAGAGAGAACACATTGTTCCTCCCATCAACATGTCTGATGCTAACCTTCAGGAGTTTGACTTATTGCGCCTTTTTTGGGTAACGTTTATCAACTGACATGAAGTGGAAAGAGTTTATTGCTAAGTCTGCAGTTACGAAAGTTGGTTTACTATGTCATGATAAACAATTTTCCTCTCCTGAATGTATTTTACATATTTATAAGTTTACTTGTTGTCCGTGCATTGAATATTACTGCCACATCTAGTCTGGTGTTTCTTCTATGTAATGAGAGATTCTTGAAAAAATCCAAAGAATTATCTGCAATGTTATTGGTCCTGACCTAACATCTCGTCATCAGACAGTTTCCCACAGTTGTAACAAAGCTTCCCTGCGCCTTTTCTGAAGATATTTTTCTGATAATTGTTCTGATGAGCTTTCTTCTTTATTAGCTTAAATTTTCGAATTTGAAATAAATCCTTTACAAAACACGTGAAAGAGAACAAAATAACCCAATCAGAGAGAAATGGATAAAGTTTTAAGATTTGATTAAACAAAAGTTTCAATTAAATTAAAGTTTCAATTAAATTATTTCTGGGTCTGCTTCTCAGAAAGTTGGTTCAGTGTGTCAAGCAAGACAATTTTGCTTGTCAAAATCTGTCTTACACATAAATAAGTCTACCATTTGTCCATACATTGAATATTACTGTCACATCTGGTCTGGTGCTTCTGGTGTATATTTAGAGATTCTTGATAAAATCCAAAGAAGAATCTGCAATATTTATTGTTCCTGAAACTCAATAAGGATAGTAGCTAACTTCCAGGAGAGTGATTCATTTTGCCTTCTCGAATAAACATTTTCAGCTGACATGAAGTTGAAAGAGTTTATTGAATCAACTGCTAAATCTGTAGCTAAAAATGTTGGTTCATTATGTCGTACTAAAATTCTTTTTAGAAATTTTCTTTAATAACATTTACCTTGGTCTTTTTGTCAATCTTTAAAATGTAGAAAGTATTTCTGGCGAATCTCATAATTGTTTCTCTAGGATATATCCCCTGGCTTTTGTTAGCAACTGTTAATGTTAAATATAATATCATAATGCTTTCCAGAAATGCCAACCATCCCTTTTTAATTACAGTCAGTTTTCGTAGAAGTATTCTAGAAATGATTCAAGTGAATTCTACAATGAATTCTACAACTGCAGACTAACATACAGTATTTACTACTGTATTTATGTGAATGGGGACATACACATTTTCGCCCGTAAGTATGCTACAACAATATAGATATATATATATATATATATATATATATGAAGAAATATAGTTTTATGGTGTGCTATATTTACCGGATAAAGTGCTCAATATCAGAGATAGAGCTTATGTGGATAAAAATATAAAAGTGAACATTGAAGTCAACATTCAGAGGCGACAGCCTGTCTAGCATGAAACTACCTGTCGCCTCTGAGTGTTAACTTCAATGTTCCCTTTTATACAGAGGGTTCCAAAAGTAGGTGGACAGTAAATGATAAAATTTGTTTGAGGTTACAAATACAATTATATTTACTAATACAATTATCTGAAAAAAAAAATAGATAAATTTAGTTATAAAATTTAAAATAATAGACCACAAATACCATAGCTATAATGAACACCATTGTAATGATATGACCGATACACTGACTTATTCCACCTACTGTCCACCTACTTTTGGTCCATTCTCTCTCTCTCTCTCTCTCTCTCTCTCTCTCTCTCTCTCTATCTATATATATATATATATATATATATATATATATATATATATATATATATATATAAGGACTCTGGTGAAATAAATTATTATAATGGTACCTTAAAGTGGTCTGTTTTTTTTCTTTTAAATATTAGCTCTGGATTTACATTGAGCTCTCAAGATTTCATCTTCCTTTGGATTACCCATACGGATTACCAAGTTCTTCATAACTTAAATATATATATATATATATATATATATATATGTATGTATGTATATATATAAGTTTTGTGATGTACGGTGACCGAAAAATGATTATGTATAACTCAAGACTTCAATGTTAAGATAAAACGGCATTAAAAAACAAAAAAAAAAACAAAAAACAAATGTAATATCAATTTATATCGTTCATTTAATGAAATAAAGGTAAAATTTGAAAAAAATGAGAAAACAAAATTAAAAAAGGAAAAAACTAAAAACAATGGGAAAATTTAAAAAACAAAAAATAATGTAAAAAAAAATAGAAGTAAAATTCAGTTTAACTTGTTCAATAAGGATAAAAAAATTTGTTTAACGGAAAAAGAATCATTAATTTTGTATATCTTTACTCTTTCATTTCATTTCCTTTATAGATTAACGTTAGAAAGTTTTTGTGGATTTCACGATCCTGTCGATGACTATATTGTATGGGCTACACCAACGCTAGATATCGTTTTAAATTCAGACTTAACGTTTTCTTAGACTAGTTGACAATACTTGGGGACGCGATTCCAATAAATTGATTAATATGGTAGACATGTTAGATCTGCTAGTTTCTAGGTATGTTTGCCTACTAAGATGGCTAGTTAATCCTATTACTATTCATTGAACGCCCACGGGACTTACCTGTGGTTTATACCGCAACTAAGCTGAGCAGACGTTTGTTGAAGTTTTCAGTGAGAGAACTCATAATATGGCGTGATCACCAGTTGAAAAAGGTCAATATGTCCAGACCATCGGTCAAGATGACTAGCAACTGCATTCTAACACATGGTTAGCTTCCGAATAGTTCCATAAACCCGACTTCACCTACACGGCTTGGGGCATCCTCCTCCTCTTAGGCTGACGGTATTAAGATATTTCCTTAACAAATAGACCATGGAGCTAAAGTTGATAAAACTCGGCCATTGGCAGCTGTGAAGAAAGATGGATACATAGATATGTAGTAAAAGACTGATATAAAAACAAATAAATTTAAGTGGTATGCAAACGTGAAACGAGCCAGGTTTATAGATAGGCAAGAAAAACAATGGGATACATATAAGGGTGTGCTGAAAATATTCTATGTAGTATCCCATTTCTTAAAATTTGACGAAAAGATATCTGATTTTTGGCGGGAAGGAGACGCTTCTGTTCAGCACCACAACTTATTAGTGGAAATATGAATTCGTATTGAAAAAAATACGTTTAAACAAATTAAGATATATGCAAGCAGGTCATGATTGTCATCTAAAAACTAAATAAATATTATTTTTGGTAGATAGATAAGTAGATAGATAGAAGGAAAGAAAGAAACAGAAAGAGTTACATACAGAAAATGTACACAGGCATATATATATATATATATATACAGATAAGTAGATAGGTAGGTAGATATGAGCGCATAGATAGATAGATAGATATATAGATAGATAGATAGATAGATAGATAGATAGATAGATAGATAGATAGAAAAAGAACTGACTGGAACAGAAAGTGTTACAGACAGAAAATGTACATTGATAAAAAAGTCATATATGTCTTAAAATATTTGTCGGACATTGTCCATGTGACGTCATTTGTTTACATTTGGGTACGCTTTGAGCAGATATGAATGTACGCGAGAGAATCATGGAAGATTGTAGTTTAAAAGCAGTAAAATGGACCTTGCTAATCGAACGTGGCTCGATCGATTGAGGCCAAATGACGGTTCTGTAGAGGATACAGGTTCGATTCCTCTCGGAGGACAAATATTTTCTATGAAAATTTCTCGGACATTTAGGCCGGTAAATGTTATTAATATTGTTTATTACAAAACAGAGCATTTACTTAAAGATTTGTATCTATAAAAAGAATGTTAAACATAAAAATGTCTTCAAATAATTGTTGGACTTTCTCCATTTCATAATATATATATATATATATATATATATATATATATAGAGAGAGAGAGAGAGAGAGACAGAGACAGAGACAGAGAGAGACAGAGAGGGATAGATAGATAGATAGATAGATAGATAGATAGATAGATAGATAGATAGATAGATATGGAGGAACATACTGAGATAGATAGATTGATATGTAGGAACATACTGAGATAGATAGACAGATAGATAGATAGATAGATAGATAGATAGATAGATAGATATGTAGGAACATACTGAGATAGATAGATAGATAGATAGATAGATAGATAGATAGATATGTAGTAACATACTTAGATAGATAGATAGATAGATAGATAGATAGATAGATAGATAGATAGATAGATATGTTGGAACATACTGAGATAGATAGATAGATAGATAGATAGATAGATAGATAGATAGATAGATATGTAGTAACATACTGAGATAGATAGATAGATAGATAGATAGATAGATAGATAGATAGATATGGAGAAACATACTGAGATAAATAGATATGAACTGACTGAAAGAGAGACAGACAGAAAAGGTACATTTATATAAACATAGATAGATAGATAGATAGATAGATAGATAGATAGATAGATAGATAGATTTATATACTGAAGATACTGAGATAGATAGATAGATAGATAGATAGATAGATAGATATGTAGGAACATACTGAGATAGATAGATAGATAGATAGATAGATAGATAGATAGATATGTAGGAACATACTGAGATAGATAGATAGATAGATAGATAGATAGATAGATAGATAGATATGGAGGAACATACTGAGATCAATAGATATGAACTGACTGAAAGAGAGACAGACAGAAAAGGTATATTTATATAAACACATAGATAGATAGATAGATAGATAGATAGATAGATAGATATGTAGGAACATACTGAGATAGATAGATATGTAGGAACATACTGAGATAGATAGATAGATAGATAGATAGATAGATAGATAGATAGATAGATAGATAGATAGATATGGAGGAACATACTGAGATAGATATGAACTGACTGAAAGAGAGACAGACAGAAAAGGTACATTTATATAAATAGATAGATAGATAGATAGATAGATAGATAGATAGATAAAATGAATGAAATATTGAAACAGGATAATTTACCTAGAACGAAATAAAAACATCTATAATCTATCTAATTTTCAATATGGCCGTGAATACTTACCTATTCCCTCACAGATGAAAAATGTGACTTTAGGGAAGAGACTCGTAATTCTATAGAAAGTGGCTGCGAATGCCACAGACGGAACTTGTGAGCAACGAGAAGGTTTTAAGGTGGTTGCAAACAAAAAGGTCACGTGTACTTGGAAGAAGATAATGAGTGAAAAGGGGACAGCAGGATTTTGTTTACACCCGGGGGGGTGCAATTGAAGACAGGAGAGAAGCAGCGGAATCTGGAATGGGAGAGATAGTACAAGGGCAAACAATACTTAGAGATAGAAAGGATAGGACATTGTGGAGGATTATTATCCCTCCGGTACTGAAGGAAGATGGTACATAAAAGAAGGAGAAACAGACTGAAATTATACAAACAAGAATTAAAGACATTGAGAGACACTTTTAGATAGATAGATAGATATGTAGGAATATACTGAGATAGATAGATAGATAGATAGATAGATAGATAGATAGATAGATATATAGAAATATACCAAGATAGATAGATAGATAGATAGATAGATAGATAGATAGATATGTAGGAATATACTGAGATAGATAGATAGATAGATAGATAGATAGATAGATAGATATGGAGGAACATACTGAGATAGATAGATATGAACTGACTGAAATAGACAGACAGAAAAGGTACATTTATATAAACACATAGATAGATAGATAGATAGATAGATAGATAGATAGATCTCTATTCATAAAATAAACCTGTTATTTTCTCTTTCTAATAGAAAAGCGTGACGCAGATTAAGTTTGTAATGACAAACCGAAGGCGGACTCAGTTGAAATTAGAACGGAAAATTTATATTTGTTGGATATGCTTCGCTGATTACAAACATGTTGCACGACTAGATTCAAGTGAACTCTTATTTCACTCCTAAAGAAAAAAAACAAGTATAATTTCTTCATAGATTACAAAACGTAGAATCTCTGCATTATTTTCGTCCATTTCCCAGGTTACATTTACTTTTTGCAGGGAAATAGATATTAAAAAGGCACAATCATCTCGCCATCATTCTTGAACAAGGTCAGTAGATTTAAAATACCTTTTTTAATTCAAAAATATATTATAATTTTTTTACTTTTATGAAGAATGGACAACCTTTTCCTGACTAAAACAAATTCTAGACTATCACTAACATTTTTCTAAGTTTCCTGTCATAAATATATATATTTTTTTTTATGAAAGTTTCACTCCATACACTCATTCCGTTGTTATTATTATTAATTTATTTTCTTTGATTTCTGGTGTGTACTCATTTCTTTCTACGTCCCGACCAGAGACCTAAGATAAAGCCCTTCGTAAGGTGTGGGCTGTACTCGTGAGAAATTTCTTGTATTTCATTAAAGCATGGGCTTCCAGGAATTCCTTCAATTAGTCTCCTGGGATCTTTTCCAAATAATCCGAGGGATCCAACTACAACAGGGATTATTGATGTTGACATGTGCCACATTTTTGAGATTTCGATTTCAAGGTTCATTCTGAGTCGAAACTAGAAACCTAATTTCAGAAATCGCATCATGAGATTTTCCATTGAGCATTTTCTTGAAAAAACAAAAACAAAAAAAAAAAAAAACTAAGATCACACACTTTTTACATAGGTAAAGCCCTTCGAAATGTGAGAACTGTAGTTGCGGGTACACATTTCTTTAATTTTATCTCTAAGTTTTGGGCTACCATTGATCCCTTCAATGTGTTTATCGGAACCTTTTCCAGTCGAACTCAGGGCCCTAACTACAACAGGGATTGTTAATTTTCCCATGTGCCAATAAGGAGGCACATTTTTGTGTTTGCGGTCTCTAATAATGATGTATGAGCAATAAGCTTTGATTGTTCTGTCAGTGTGTATTGTGTAGTCCCATAGAATTGTAACAGGTCCTATCTCCGTAACCGGGTCTAGGTGATGTTCATACTAATTTCTTTCAGTTTCCTTCCCGTAGAAGTTGCAGATTTTCCAGTGCAGATATTGGTCCACTCTGTCATGTCATGTTTTATATTCAGTGGGTGCCAATATCGTGCAACCTGATACAAGATGATCAATCGTTTCTGGATATTTATCACAGAATCTGCATTTTGGGCTAACACCATTTTTCAGTATGTGTGCTTGATAATTTCTATTTAACAAGCATTGATCCTGTGCAGCCAGGACAAAACCTTCAGTTTCAGCTTTTAACCCTGCATTACGTAGCCACTGATGGGGTAAGGGTTTGTCTACATCAGTTCTGAAGAGGTTCATCTTGCCATCGTTTCAGTATCTGGTCAGTTGCATTTACTTTTGCTTACTTTTTTAGGTATTTTGCAGCTTCAGTCGGTGTATTGTGCTTTATTATTATTATTTTTATTACTGCTACTATTATTATTATTATTATTATTATTTCCTTTGATTTCCTTTGATTTCTGAGTATACGCATTTCTTCCAGAGGCCTAAGGTCAAAAATTGCACCATGATTATTCCCCTGCACATGTCTGAAAAACCTTTTATGCAGATGAAGGCCTTCGTTCGATATGAGGTGACCTTATAAGAAAACAATTTTGATCAACAATCGTTAAGACATTAACTGATTAGAGATTCCTTCAATGAGCTTAGCAGAACTTTTCCTAATCAATTTATTATTTCTGCTGACAGTTCGAATTCATTTTATTATTTATTGTTAAGATAGAGTAAAACTTACTGTAAAATGCTAACAGTAAAATATTTCATTTAAAAAAACATAAGTCAAATTTTACTTGTTAATTTTAACGTGTCATAGCCAAATAGTCTAGGTTCGTGTTTCATCAAGTAGTGTAAATAATTACTTACTAGTTGTCATTTTAGACGATAACAGGTGAGTTACCATGTTTGACATAGTATAGTTCTTTCTTTCTCTATCTCCAGTCTCTAGTTATAGAAATGTAGATAGATAGAAACAGGTTGAGATAGATAGATAGATAGATAGATAGATAGAAAGAAAGAAAGAAAGAAAGAAAGAAAGAAAGAAAGAAAGAAACAGGCTGAGATAGATAGATAGATAGATAGATAGATAGATAGATAGATAGATAGATAGAAACAGTATGGCCATGGAAATAAATATGTCATGTGTGTGTGTGTGTTAATTTTTGAGTGTGTCGACTTGTTTTTTACGGTTTAACAATCCTTTATGGGTTATTTATGCTGAAGCTTATTTAGTAAATGAATGACAAATTGGAAAAAAATCTGTGTAACACGCGTCGTGCTCTAGAAAAATTTAACTGGATTAAACTAATGTTTTATTTAAAGTAGCATTTTTAATCTAAATTATAGTCAAATACTCCTTACGGTGAATATTACTAATGTGTTGAGTGTGTTGTTTTGTAAAATATCCCTTTTATGTTCACATAATCTGTTATTTAAATTCCTCGAGGTTTCTCCTATGCATTTCTTGTAACAATTATTACAAGTGTTAGCTTATTATTTAGTTTTGCATTAATTAACTCTTTTATTGTTTTCGAATTATTTGTAACAAATTTTATGTGAAGCTTAAATGAATCCTTTTCAATAGTAGTTGTGATAGAGTTTGGTAGGTATAGTAATATATTCAGTTTCATTGAATTTGCTTGAAGGGTTCAATTTTTTTTTATTCTGAAATATTTGACGAACTTTCTGTTTTGCATTGAATATGAAAAAAATCGGGTATTAGAGGAACTTAAAAGATTCTTCAGTGTACTTCTCCTAGTCAATTAAATATTTCAGTCTACAAATTCTCAGTGCGCTTAAACAGAATCAGATAATTATTCCAAGTGTTATTTTGTTCTTGTGGTGAGAATAGAAATTTATGAGATCATTTTTATAAGTTGATTTGGAATAGTTCTTGTCACTATCAGTACGGTTTAACATAATATTGAGGAAAGGTAATGTATTCTTTGTTTTTGTTTCGTAAATTGTATTGTAAATTCGACTTTGTTTAATTTATCTACAATATCAAGTAATCTTGTTTTACGGGGATATATTGATAGAAACTCCTTGATATATCGGAAATATGTTGATTGTTTATCTAAAACACTTTGCGAATTTTTCTGATAATCTCGCTTCCGATAATTAATTCACTCCAAGAAATTCTAAATTAAAGTTTGTTTTTGTTTTTTTTATCAAGTTTTTGGCACTCTTTTGAAATTATAAATTTTAAATCAAAGCACCTCATTCGTGGTATTCGTATCAACTTCTGCGGTGTGGAATCGATCCTCTTCGAAAAGTCTCCGGACTTCCCAGCTCTCTGTGAAACTAATCTTAACTCTTCAATTGCCTCCTCTGAATTCTCGATTCCAGGCTATCCTCCTCTTCTTATGACAGACTCTGATGTCCACATGCATGGCCTGGGTAGTTTATGTCCGGGAACATCTTCTGCTGGCTAGTAAACTCTTTCTCTCTCTCTCCTGAATCTCCACATCACTCTTACATGTGTCTCCGTCTCTCTCTACTTAACTCAGTCAGCTATCTGTTCTTTTTTTTTTATAGATCCCATCTCCAACCCCATGACTGTTGCGTGCTAGAGTGTATTTCGGATAATATAGACAAAGCCATCTTCCTACACCCGACTGCAAATATATTTGTGTTTGGTGACTTTAATGTCCACCATGCCAGGTGGCTTAAACACTGTCATCGAACCCGCTGGAATCCAGACCCTTAAGTCCTCAATCACTCAATCTCTCACGCAAGTGGTTGACTACTCTACGCGTTTCCCCAGGAACCTTGATTGGTAACCTTGTCTTCTAGATCTCTTTCTTTTTGCCTCTATCCCGGACTTATGTCTTGCTGTGCAGCTCTGCCATCTTGGCAACTCTGATCATGCGGTAGTGTCTGTAAACGTCTCTTTTCGCTTTCCTACCGGCCAAGAACTTCCTATAAAAGAATATTTTTCTGTTATTGATGTGGGGCCAAAGTTAGGAGCACAGAAGGAAAACACGGAACACGGATTAGATGTAAGAAAGATATATTAACAACAGTTTACAGAGATAGTGTAAGCGGAGCTTACTATATGTTAGTGTTCAATACTGGTAGTCGTACGCGGCTCTCACTGTCTCTCTCTATGTCACTCTCTGTGTCTCTCTAGAGTGCTATGTCGCCTACTTAATATAGGCCTGGAAGAGTCTATTGTGTAGGTAGTTTCCGGTCTCATAATAGTTATCAACATGCGGATTGGGACTCGTTCCTTGATTTCCTTTTTGACGTCTCTTGGGATGCAGTTTTTAGTAATCCTGTTCATAAATACGCGTCTGAAGTCTCCTTCTTTTGGGTGAAAGCCGGCATCGATGCTTTCATTCCAATTTAAATTGTGTTCATCTCTTTGGTTCTCAACTGCGTGCTCAGCCGCTATAGCCCACAAGACTCACTTGTCCAGGCTGTACCAGAGCCGCACATCTGATTGCAACAGACGTCTCTTTGTCTCTGCTTGTAACGAGTACAAGCATGTCCTCAAAGAAGCGAAGTTACTGTTTGCTGATAAAATGAAACAACTTATCTTATTTCGCAAGTTCGGTTCTAGGTGTTATTGGTGTCTCTGCAAAAGTGCGCTGAACAACAGTAAATCCTCAATCCCTCCTGTATTTAATCCATTCAAAGTTCTGACATATACAGCAGGTAAAGTTGAATGCTTTAAAAATCTTGAAAAATTTAAATGCAACATCAATCGCCATCTTCTGTCTCCTTGAATCCAATTCATCTTTTGTCTTTTCATCAATCCTCCCTATTCTCAGTGTTCTCTTTCAAATTCACTCCCTGTAACCCACTGTGAGTGATATTCCCGTCTTGCTTGGTGTGAAATAATTCTCTTAATTTCCCTCTCCAAATTTATGTCCCCTTTTCTTTCCTTCAAAACCCTAAGTCCATCTTTTATTTCTTACATCTTTACTTCTCTCTTTTTTTCTCTCTCTCTATATCGTTTCCGGTGAGTTAACCTATTAAATACGTCAATGTCTGATCCTTACCCACACCCACTTTCCTCACTATTAAGTATTGTAATAAAAAGAAATTTAAAAGCATTCCTATCTCTATCTTCCCTCTCTAATTTCGACCATGTCTCTCACGCTATCGCTCACCACTCTCTACATCTCCTTACATCAACTTAATAATACCCATCAAAAGTGTAAAAAAAATATATATGTAAATTTAAAGTCATTTTTTCATCTTGGAAGTGAGGTCTGATGATCTAGGGAAAAAGAAACTCTCTGGGGAAATAAATTATAACCATGGAACCTTAGAATTGTCTGTTTTCATTAAATTATATATATATATATATTTAAGACATTTTTTATGTTTATACGTTCTTTTTATAGATACAAATATTTAAGTAAATGCTCTGTTTATAATAAGCAGTATTAACGACATTTACCGGACTGAATGTGCGAGAAATTTTCATAGAAAATATGCGTCCTCCGACAGGAATCGAACCTGTATCCTATACGGAATATAGCCTGATGTGCTTTTACCGATTTCGCCACAGAGGAGCGTTTCGGCTAGCTAGGTCGATTTTACTGTTTTTAAACTACAATTCTCCATGATTTTCTCTCGTACATCTGATCGATACGTATCCAAATATAAACAAATGACGTCACACATTATGAAATGGCCAAAGTACGACAATTATTTTAAGACATTTCTTTATGTTTATATCTATAAAAATAACGTATAAACATAAAAAATGTCTTAAAATAATTGTCGGACTCTGTCCATTTCACAATATATATATATATATATATATATATATATAAATATTCCACTTAGTCTTTGATTGCCTAAATTTTTAATATGTGCAGGTCTGATTGATTCAAGGAGAGTTGTTAAAAATTTTGTTATGGCTTTTGAAATTTTATGGGAAGAGCTATCAATACCTAATATAAAGGGGATATAGGAATACCTGCTTTGTGTGTCATGTATAGCATAAAGTTTGTGTAATTAGTAAAGGCTTTGCCCAAGCATTAATTACTGCTACTCTAGGAAGAGACAACTAAAGAACGTTGACTCAACGACACGTTGAAGCATTTCGAAATCTAACAAAAGAAAAAAGAAAATGCAGGTGGAAATCTTTATAATGAATAGGAGCATTAACAATAATAAAATTAAATTACCTCTCAGCTATATTCACACATGAGAAAATTGATGAAAACATTGATAACATAGCCATTAACTAAGCAATTACATAGTAGTGAAAACAAGGAAATATTTTTAATCATGTCATGCCAAGCAAGGCGATAATGCCACTAAGACGCAACGGGTTACTGGCTGTGAAAGAAGGAGACACCTTTAATGAGGAGAAAGAACAAGAAAAGAACAAGATTCAGGAAGACAGACGATAGTGATAGGCAATGAATATAAACCTTTGAAGATTGTAGGTGACGGCGAATCAAGAAATTAGAAGGGACTTCCACAGGAGAAAAGTGCGAGAAAAGAAACTATTAGATTAGAACATACGGTTGCGTCTAGTTTAGCAGTGAAACGGCGAGACCCAGTTGCTTCATCTAGGAGCACGCTTAAATTTATGTAATCGAGGCGCCAAGGAAAAAAGTTCATCAGAATAACTGCCATGAAAATATTTGTAGAAAAGACAGAGGGAAGCCACGCCACGTCTGTGAGGAAGTGTCTGAAATCGTGGCGCCAGTTCAGGACTGATTATATTACAGACCGTTCTTTGAAATTTGTCACGGATCTATATTCCGAACACCCGACCAGATATTCAATACTAATAATATTCAATACTAATAATATTCAATACACAAAGGAATGACAGATTTATAAATAGGCAAGATGGATACTGACGAGAAAATTTGTCTGGCATGACACAGGGAAGCCACTTTCCTAGAAGGTCTTATTATAAATTGTCATATAGAAATAAAGTATCGCTGCCGACACTTGGGTTTGAACACGGATCGCCAGAGAACAAGTACAGTCGACCTCATCTTGAAATAATTAGACCCGTGACGGATAAAAGAATATATATATATATATATATATATATATATATATATATATATATATATATATATATATATATATATATATATATATATGAGAATTAGCGTCTGGCTGAGTATTTGTTCGAAGGGGTTATTATTGTTGTATCTGCG